TAGTGAGTTTTATACATTATTAACATTACAATTGTTTTTTTACATTATTAGTTTAACAAACAAAAAATTTTCCTGCAGGAGATAAATATTTGTCAAATATAAATGTGTTTACAAAGCGGAAATAAATAATAAGTGATAAAAAGAGAACCCAGGTTAGAACTTTCATATCTCTAAATTACTCTAATAAAGTAATTTGCTTTGATTTAATCTTTATAATACAATATATTTTACATGATAAGGCAAAATCCAATGTGAAAGGTTATATGAAGATTACGAATAGTATCCTACAGTATTCAGCATTTCGTATAATCCTATAACCTGATAATAATATTAAAGTAAATTTTCTGAATGAACTTTTCTTATTACAGAAACAGTCCAAATTATGCAAGTATATAAACGAATGCACTTTGAAACTATATCCTTTAATACTGTTTACAAACGCAAGCCAAACTTCTGTTTACATTACTTCTCGCCCTTCAGCGCATGCTCAAGAATTACCATCCAGGCGAAACTAGTCGATTTTTCCATGACGTCAAAAATTCGAAAAGTGGGGTAGGGTTTGGAAATACGCCTCAGCGCGCCCCTTATTTCTGGAACCCTGGAGATCTCTAAACGATAACTCTCAGTAGGAGCCCAAGAGTAGGAGTCTTTCGTTTTAGACCGCTATGTTTAATCTCCAAGAAATAATATGTAATGTGTAACATACATAATGTGTAACAAACAAACGTGGACATTCTTCGTTAAGAAAGCTTTGACGGAGACAACGAAATAAGTTCTTTAGTCTTGTCATATTTTTTACTTCGAGATTGGCAATACTAATACTTTGCCATGGCGACCGAAGTTTCAGTCTGTGAAATCAGTAAGCTGTAGCCGATATTTTAGCAAATATTTCATCACTTCTGGGATCAAAACACATTTTCCTAGGTATTTCTTAAAATGGGTTTCCGTTGATATCACTGATCGCTCAAAATTTCAGTCTGTCCGTCAATAATTTATGCAAACATGAATGTTGTCATTTGTATTGGCCAGTCTTCCTTTGTATTGGTTTGGCTGCGATAAAAACATTTCCTTTCAAGCATTAATACATTATTGGGAAAGCTCACTAAAAGCACTGTTCTTAGTTAAAGAAACTAATCACAAATTTTTAAAGAAACTTTCTGTACAAATTGCAGGAAATATACATATACTGTTAAGTTAGGATTAAATTTTCATTCTGTTTATTAAACCTGTTTTTAATAATATCTAGATTACTATTTTTTTTTTTTTTTTTGTTTCATATAACCTCCCTCCTTAAAAAAAGGGGGGGGACGTTAAATAACAAATGTAACTACAATGAAAGAACTAAGACGTTGATAAACAATAAATACTACATATGAGAAATTACTTGTGTAGAAAGTAATATGAATAGGGTACAAAAACGTTCAGTTACAAAGCGCGTGCAAAACAGAAATTATGCAACATATGATATGAAACATCTGAGCTACTAACTTAGTTATATTTTTATTGTATCTTTGTGTACTTTTCTATGTTTACATTGTGGTTATTATGTTAATAAGTTTTTGCTTGTAAAAAAAATATGCTTATAAACATTTAAATAATGTGGAAATTTGGTCTCAGAGTTTATCTCAGAGAGTATGTTATCAGTTTGCATCAGCATGCTATCAGTTATCATTTAGCTATCAGCTAAATGCTATCAGCTATCAGTTATTATGTTATCATTTTGATATTACCTGTGTTATTTCTAATGACTGACAGGTTTGTTCATCTTAATAATAAAGTAATGTTTGGAAATCAGTAGAAAGGTTGTGTTTTTATTTACAAACAGTATAATTTTGAGAATAATTTTAAAATCATGCATTTATTAAAAATATTAAAGATACAAGATTATTAATGTATGATGGGGATAGACTTGTAATTTATGTGGACAATATTATGAACAAGATAAATATTATTACATTAAGAAGGTGATGTTTGATCTAATGTCTGTGTTACAAGAAATACTGTTACCTACAGAATCAGTATTTCATAGAGAGTGAATCAGTATTTCATAGAGAGTGAACTCTCATGAAAATTCTACTGTATTTGGATTGGCTCATTACTAGTTGAGCCAATTGATTGGTTCATTCAACTATTACACACTGAGCTAACTATGAAAGTTCTATTTGTTTCACCATGGAGAAGAAATATTTGATGCACATAATCTGTTGATATTATTTTAGGTTTAAATTTATTCTATTTTTGTGCTATAAGCAAACATTTTAAATCTTGGGAAATAATTAATTTTAAATTTCTAGGTATGTATTTTTAGCAGCATGCAGTATAGCTAAAGGTAAGGTAGTGTGCAGTGATCAAAATAAAATGTTGTTATTATTAAATTTTATTTGATTTCTTTAAAGATTTTTATGACCAGTGTTTGAATTCTATTTTTTAATCAGATTTATTATTTAAAACTTTGTGTGAGTATAGAAATATTAATTTTGTATTATTCTACTCTAGAATTTTTGTATGTGATAGAAAGTTTTACTCAACAGTATGAAACATAAATTATTTTGATATCTAAAAAATACTTACATCATCACATAAAATTAAATTAATCAGCATGAAAATCTTCCTCTTTATAAGGTAAGGAATTAAATTTAAAATAACTAACAGGATCTCCATAGCAAAGGAAACAGGAAAATAACAAACTCTTTTCTATTATTTTGAATATTGTATGTTATTTTTAGTAATGTATGCTGTGACAAAGGAAGCAGGAAAATAACAAACTCCATCTTTTTTATTAATTTGAGTATTAGATATTATTTGTAGTAAGAATTATATGCTGCTTCTTTTTGAAGTAAATAACCATTCTGTTATTTAATAAAAACAAGAACAGTTTTTAAGAATTTTATTTTTATATGAAAGCCTGGGTCTTAATTTACTTTTCAGCATAATTTCCACTTACTTAAAGGCATTTATCATATTATACAACCACTTTCTGAAATTTATCTTCATAGAAATCTGCTGCCTGATTTCATAAACATTTCTGATTGTCAATGTGAGCACAATTTCTGATAATTTAAATTTTCTTTCACAATTTCAAACAGTACACTTCTTCAAATTTGAGGAAAACTTAGATATAATATAATGGTAAGGGACAAAATAGATGACTGTTCATCATTAATGATAACCTAATGCAGAAAGTTGATGAAAAGTTTGTGAAAATAGACTTGTTATAATTAACACTATGAACTCCATATAGTTGAACCATGTGTAGTAATAAGAAAAAGTAATTCTTTGAAATCTCATCTTATCAGTCAACCATGCTCTATTCTCACCAGTTGTTATAAATAACATTTTCTAATATTTTTTATGAAATTTTATTTGAATTAAATTTTTTATCCTGCTTAATTGTTACTGCTGTCTTTACAATTGCATAATTATATCATCAGTTATAAATTACATAATCTAAGGCCTTTTTCTTGAGCTTAATTGCTATTGCTATCTCATTTTGAGTTATTTAAGCTTTTGTCTAATGAATTTACAGATTTAATGTAATGAGTATAAACATATTTCATGTAATTACTTAATTTTAAGATATTTATGTATTATCTCATTGACTGTGAAAGTTGGTAGAAATCTTGTCAAAGTTACAGGCAGTCATTCCAGCAGAGTTCTGAAGGAACTGATTGATGCCTTTTCGTTTAATAAACACTCAGTATTTGACTCTCTTTGTTTTTGCACTTTGTAAAAAAAGCTTTTAGCGATTTCTATTATTTTGTTAGTAGGAGTAATAAGGGTAGAATTGCCTTCATTTTACCGGAAGCTCTGTTTAGACAGAGCTATGACTGCAGATTTTTTTATGGTAATTGTTTTTATCTATTATTCTTTTGTTGGCCATATCATATCCACATTTTCGGGGGGGGGGATGATAGGATCCCATAATTTTAAAGATAATCTACTGCCTACTGCTTATTCTGTAGAAATTCAGGTCCCAAATTTTAATCTTTTTTTTTTTTTTTTTTTCTTTTTCAAATTGCAAGGATAACCAGCAATAAGAGTTAGTTTATGTACTTGTTCATAAAAACAAAACATAGCTTATCAAAAATCCTTTAGAATTACATTAATTGAAAGTGTAAATATTATGAGTGTGTTTTTACCCACAAATATTCATAAATGGTGGTAAACCGCTTTGCTTGACAATAGTTTCAAGGTTGGTGGGATATTATATAAGTACCATTTTATACGTATTATTTTAATGTAAACTTTGTTCTGTATTTTAGGTTTTGAAAATTCTGAAGAAAGACCATACAAGTCAATGCCACTATCATTTTAGCCATATCTATGCAGGAAGAAGAAAAATAAAGCTAATATCCTGAGGTATATTATATTTTTTAATTTAATGCCTGATAAATGTTTATGTAAAGCTGTGATATACCAGCATATTTCTAAAGATTTACATACTGTGAGAATCATATGTATGATTCTAAACTGTGAGATATAAGAGTATATGCTTAGTGTATTTTTAATCTCAGTAGTTTTATTTATTTTAAGCAACAGAATGTGAAACAGAGCAAAATTCACTCACCCGGTGTTTATGGTTTGTTCGGTATTTTCTAACTATCTGCATTCTACTGCAAAATGTCATCATTGGTGATTAATTTTTCCCAAGGTAATACACATAAGGCAATAGCCATTTTGAAAATGGTGGCAGAGTTCAATAAAAGTACAAAGAATCATTAAAATTAAAAAAGGCAAAAAAAAATCTGTAATAAAAACATTTACTCTTTTAAAAAAATACTTATTTATTTATTTACTTTTTGGTGTGTGTGTGTGCATGCGTGCAGATTGTTGGTTGTTCTTATGTATACAGTCATCTATTTTTGCTTTAAAAAACATCAAAGAATTGCACAAATTTTGCAATTCACATGCTGTTGTTCTTTCCATGTACACAGTGATCTGCTTCCACTTTAAAAAAAATCTGGGAGTTGTACAATTTCAGCTTCAGGCTCTAATTTTGATCATTTAAGAAATATAATTTCATGGAATTTGCATTCTCTGCTGTTGGGCAAAATATGATATTTCTGAGGAAATGTAATACTTTTATTTTTATCAACCAGAACACTCATAGTCCCATTATGATTAATCACAAAAATTTAAAAAAAAAAAAAAAAAAACAGTCTTAATGCAAAAACTAGCAATCTAATCAGAAAAATTATTGTTCAGATTTAAAAGTGGAAATATGAGCTCTGCTGCTACTTTTGCAACCGTATCTGGTGTATGAGCTCCAAGAGTTTCACTTTGCCAATTGGCAGCAGTAGCACTGTTGTATTCATTCAATTGCATTAGAGCATTAAAAGAGAGCTGACAAATGTCCTGCTTCTCCTTTAGAATTATCAGGATCTATAGAAGTTTTAAATACCATCCTTGGAGCTAGGGATCTATGTCTGGCCCACCAGCGGCCGAGCGGTAAAGTCGCTGAACACTGGTAGTTCGGTCCGAGGTTCGAATCCCGCGAACGGGCTGGCTGCATGGGCGTTTTCGTGTTTTTCCCCATGTGTAACGTGTATACGAGCCAGTTTCCCTTAGATAGTCCTCCACGAAGGCATCCCTTCCCTTAGGCAGATAGCCCTCAAGGCTTTGCCATAATCACACACACACACACAGGAATCTATGTCCAAATTTGTAACTGTAATAAATGTTTGTGTTCTATTTCAGTAGACTGTTGATATTTAGAGCTTAGAATCAAAAATAGATTTAGATAGAATATTATCACCTGGATTTCGATATAAATTCTCTTTGGCAACATCATGGGTTGCCTGTTTGGGTTTGTTTGATCTTACTTTGTGAACATTTTTTAGGGGATAGAGGATGCAGATAATCAAAAGGAAATAATTAATTCTTCATATCCTATAATTTTAAAGACATAAGAACTATGTAGACAGCCAGGAAGAAATAATACCAGATTAATGTTAAGACATTTAATTATATGCACAAATCTATGTATGCAGTTTAAAAGAATATATATTACGGAAAAGGATGAGAATGGTTATATTTTAACACTGAGATAGTATTTGCAATGATCTAGGACTGGGATCAAAAGCTATGTTTTTGTGATGATTTCCTAACCTTCCTCTTTATTGCACACTGATGCAAATAAAGTATCCTATGCCAACAGTGCATAAGTGTTTTCAGAAGGTTTTTAAGGTAAAAATGGTACTCTTAATTAACCGCACAACTTTCCTGCCAAAGTTGCCAATCTTTGGCAACTAATTTTACACAGTGATCTGCTTCCACTTTAAAAAAAATCTGGGAGTTGTACAATTTCAGCTTCAGGCTCTAATTTTGATCATTTAAGAAATATAATTTCATGGAATTTGCATTCTCTGCTGTTGGGCAAAATATGATATTTCTGAGGAAATGTAATACACAGTGATTGGCAACAAGTTGCCAATCTTTGGCAACTAATTTTTCACTAACCTGAGATGTCGAAAACTTTTGCTATTTTTAAAAGAAGGTGATGTACTGAGAAATACAGAAAATTGCAACAAATTAAAAATGCAAGACTCATCTATGATGAAACACTGAAGTAACATGAAAGAAACATCCATAAAGAAAAACTGAAAATTACATAAAACAGTAATAAATTAACTGAATTAAAAGTGCAAGAAGGATTCATAATAAAACACTTTTTTCTCTGCTCCTCTCCCATATACAGATTGAATTGTTTTAACTTAAAACAAAAAATCGGAGAATTGCACAAATTCAGAAAAAGATATTGTTGCTAAAAAATGTCAAGAATTGCATAAATTCAGAAAAAGCTATTATATTATCACAATCACCTAAGAACAACTGATAAATTACTTTCCCACTCTTCTTCCATGTACACATAAATCTGTTTTTACTTTAAAAAACATCAGAAAATTGCACAAATTTGGAAAAACTATTATCACAATCGCCCAAGAATAGTTAATAAACTACTTTCTTGCTCTTCTTCCATGTACACATTAACCTGTTTTAACTTTAAAAAAAAAAATAGAAAAATTTACGAATTCAGTAAAAGCTGTAAGGACATTTGGTGAGGAGTAGCCACAAAGAAGACTGTTGAATTTCAAAAGCTGAATTCCATGATGGCATAATGTCCATGGAACTATTTGTGGGTTGCCAGGTAAGACTATTTTCATAAAATTCCAGGTTGCTTACTTTGCCAGCATATCGCTTTGACCATTGATTCTTGTCAGGGTTAGGCAAATAATGGGATAATTCTGTGAAAATCCATAAATTAAATTTAATTCAACCTGTTGCTTGAATGAAACCCGTCACCTAACAGTTAAAATTAAAAATATTAAGGTTCCTGCATAACATTTGGTCTTTTCCCAGTCCTCTTTTTTTGCCCAGATAAAGTTGTGCCCTGTGTTTTGTTTTTGTGTCCCACCTTTTTTTTTTTTTTTTTTTCAAATAACATTTTGAAAAATAATTTAACTGCCAGGATCCTAATTTTTCAGATTTTAGAAGTTTTGAGTGGAAAAAGATTACTAGTTCATTATATATTTTGTATCACTATCAGGTTCAATGTTTCTTCTAACCTTCTTCGGAAACATACAATAACCTGACTAGGAACAGAGAGCTTACTAAAGCTATGTTCACTAATTGTAGTAAGTAGACAGGATACAGACGAAGGGTATACAAGAAACCCTTTATTTTTCTTTTATATACAATGACTTCCGTACTTCGGAATACAATGGACCCTCCACTCGGGGTCTAACGTAAAGGTATAAAAATAAAACTAAACTCTAATTTAACTTTAGAATAAGATTGGCCTTATAATAACAGGAAGCGTATGTAGCACAGAGACTGTGAACACTACAATACGTTTAATTTATCAAGAGGATTAAAACCTCTGGCCTGGGAGGCAAATAGCAACTGCGTAACTTCTAAGGTAAGCGGCCTGCTTCGAACTCACTGCTTCCTCTCTCCTGCTTGGCAAAAAGGCCACACTTAAATACTTGGCGTTCGCCAGACAACTTTGCATAAAATCCTTCACACTTATAATTCTGGCCGGAAGTAGAAAATAAGAAGTGATAGTAAAGATTTAAAATAAAATAAACGTTAGTAAAACTTAAGATCCTTACATACTTCCCGCCAGAGTTAATTTGTTTGAAACTGAGGTCTAAAACGACCTTGTTGAAAACTTTTAGCTCTAAAAACTAACGCGAGGCCAACCTTTTACAATCATAACTTAGCTAGAAAACTAGAAAATTAAAAAAAAAAAGAAAGAAATTTGTTACAATAGCAGCTCCCGGGATATACAACAATCTTTTTTTTTTTTTTTTTTCATCTGTACTGCATCTAAACAGGAGCTTTATTCAATTCTGGTTCCTTCCAGAGATCTGGAAGGAAAACTAGTTTAATGAAATGTTACAGAATGACATTGCAATAACATATAGAATATACTTCTCTTAACCATTCTTATTTCATTCATGACTATTTTAATTATCTCTCCCCGTGCTCTCTGACATGTGTTGTAAAAGAACACCAAACACGTATGTGTTTCTGTCTACGTGTGCCACACTTCCTCCTACAATCAAAACACTAACGTGTTAAAATTCAACATACGAGACCTCTTAACACACCCTACTTTCAACTCTAAACCCTGAGGTACTATTTTGAAAGTGGCTAACTCTAAAGTGTAGCGTCAGAGAGCCTAACTACATCATTCAACCTTTAACACATATTCACCATGATTTAATCTTTACAGTCACACGAATAACAAATTTTTAACATTACTTTCACTTTTACCATATCACGGTATTTCTTAACATTCAAAATAACAGTTCACATGTATACAAGAACATATCAACATGCCGTTAATTTTACACATTTGAAAACATACATTAGTAGTACATTGTTAACTTCTATTCTTTTCAAAGCAAGTGCCAATTCTTTCTACATTGAAATACTACATTTCAAAAAGTCTTTCAGACTAAACTTCTTTCTTGTTAGAATGTTTTAAATAAAATTTATACAATAACTTTTACAATATTTAAGTCTTTATACAAGCTATTATATACATCAACTTTAGTTTTACGCGCGAGAGTAATTGAAAAACATAATAAGAAAATCGGTCACAACTCATTTCTCGCCCTTTTGGCGATAAAGGTAGACCTCGCATGAGGTAAAACTTCTTGAAATCTGCCACTTGCAGTAAGAATGAAAGATTAACTTAAGTTTGTAAAGTAACATAAAAATTTTACTTATCTTTGTAATATTCAGACATCCTTTTCTGGGCCTAGTCTTTAAAGGTGCTGCAGACCGTAGCTTGGTTGATCCTCCTTCTTGTACGGGCTCGCCGT